GTTTGTGTATGTATGTGTATGTGTTTGTATATATGTGTAGTGTGTATATGTGTATTTGTGTTTGTATATATGTATTGTGTATGTTTGTGTATGTGTGTGTATGTGTGTATGTGTATGGTGTAGGTTATATGTGTTATGTGCATTTGTGTATGTGTGTATTTGTGTATATGTGTAGTATGTTCATTTCTGCATGTGTGCATTGTATGTGTGTGTATATGTGTGGCTTATATGTAGTATGTGTATTTATGTTTGTATATATGTGTAGTGTTTGTGTATGTGTGTGTTTGTATATGTGTAGTGTGTGTGTGTATGTTTGTGTTCGTATATATGTGGTATATGTGTGTGTTTGTATATATGTGTAGTATGTGTATGTGTGTGTTTGTATAATATGTGTAGTGTGTGTATGTGTGTATGTATGGTGTGGCTTATTTGTGATATGTGTGTATGTGTGTGTATATCTGTGTTTGTGTTTGTATATATGTGGTATGTGTATGTGTTTGTATATATGTGTAGTGTGTGTATGTGTGTGTTTGTATAATATGTGTAGTGTGTGTATGTGTACATGTGTGTGTATGTGAGTATATATATTGTGGCTTATTTATGATATGTGTGTGTATGTTTGTATGTATGTGCGTGGTGAATGGATGAGGCTGTTAGACATGGGAGTTGATGGACTCCAGGCTTGCTGGGATACAGAATATAGAATTGGGGAAGCAAGGGAAAGCACTGAGTACAGTTGTTGAGGTGACCTGGAGGGCTAAAGTGGTGCTCTAGGACACAAGGATTTCTGGGAAAACTGGAAAAATGCATTTGGCCAGACTTGAAAGGATTAGGAAGCCCAGAAAACAACTTGGTGGTCTATCATGTAGGAAAATGGTCTTCTATCTAGGGATGTGCCAGTTGCTTTTCTCACTGATGTAGAAAAGATTCAAAAGAGGCAACTTAAGGGAGTGTTCTAGTTTTGTTTCTGTAGCTATGATAAAAATGCCCCAGTAAAAGCAACTTTAGAGAAAAAGAATTTACTTAAGTCATAATTCCAGGTTGCAATACACTGTGGAGAAGTCGGAGCAGGAACTTGAAGCAGGTAGTAGGCCCACAGGAACTTGAAGCAGGTAGTAGGCCCGCAGGCCACAGTCCTAACAGGCTACGTCCTCGGTAAAGAGCAGACAGAGATGAATGCATCCATACTTACTTGGTACCCACTCAGCACACACAATCCTGGATCTCCTCCCTGCATAGGAAATGGTGCTGCCCACAGTGGGCGGGCTCTTCCTACAGGAATGATTGTCATCAAGACTATTCCCTACAGACATGTCCACAGGCCAACCTGCTGTGTACAGTCCATCATGGATTCTCTTTCCAGGTGATTCAAGGCTGTGTAGATCACAATTAACACCAAGACTGTGTTGACAATTAAGATTCATCACCATGGAGAGAAAGGGTTTATTTGGGCTCACACTTTTGAGGGTCCAGTCTGTCATGGCATTAGGAGCATGAGGCAGCTGGTTGCATTGCATGCACAGTCATGAAGCAGAGAGAGAGAGAGAGAGAGAGAGAATGGTGGTCCCTCAATTTCCTTTTCTTCCTTATTTAGTTCAAGATCCTAGTATATGGGGTGGAAACACCCATAGTGAGGGTATTTCTTCCCACCTCAGTTACCCCAACTACAGTCTGTCACAGACACACCCAGAGGGCTGTCACCTCAGTAGTTCCAGACCTGCTAACTTGACCACATGAGCCATTATAGAGGGCCAGTGAGGAGAGACTCTGAGATCACCAGGGTAACAGAAATATGAACATGGAATTTTTCATATAATTCAACAAGCAATCTGTTTTATTGGAAAAGACCTGCCTTAATCTGTTTATAGCAAGACCTTATCACCAAGACACCAACTAGTTCTTATCCATATAAAATGTGAAAAGTTTTAAACTAAGGAGCTCTGTAAATATCCAACCTACCCTTTGTCTGTCCTTTCAGATATTTGAAGACGTCAATCTCCCAAGCCGGCCTCAAGTTGAGAAATTACTAAAGTGTACCGATAATATTTTCACATTTATTTTTCTCCTGGAAATGATTCTGAAATGGGTGGCCTTCGGATTCCGGAGGTATTTCACCAGTGCCTGGTGCTGGCTCGATTCTCTCATTGTAGTGGTAAGTTTACTGTCTCTGTGCCCTATTCCGGTTGGGGCAGGGATTGGTGGGGGCACTGTAAGGGGGCTGCCTTGCCTGTCCTCATATGGATGGCACTCAGTAATCCTGAGCACCATTACGTACTTAATGCTGTCGAGTGTCCACCCCCAGGGTCCCTGCCTCTCATTCTTGCCTTTTGTAAACACACTGTCCAACCGTCTCCATGACGGCCTCCTCCACCTCTCTCTGAACCATGCTTGTGTCTAACCCAGAGGAACTTCAGGCATCCTCTATCTTTCCTTCTCCTTCCAACTTTTTTCCTTTTTTCCTTTTCATATGTGTGTGGTATACATGTGTGTATTCATGTTTTTCTGTATGCATAAACATGTGCGTGCATGCACGTGGAAGCCAGAGATTGATGTCAGGAACCAGTCAAATGCTTTTCCATCTTATTATTCAGGCAGGCCTCTCAATCAAACCCAGAGCTCACTGATATGGCTGCTCTGCATGCTCTGGGGAATCCCCTGCCTCTCTGCCTTCCGAGGCTAGAATTTTAGATGTGAGACCACGCCCACCCAACATGAGTTCTGGAGATCAAACTCTGGACCTCATGCTTGCAGGGAAAGCACTTTAACTGCTGAGCCACCTCCCCAGACCTCCCAACCAACTCAACTTGAAATGTTTTATCTTTAAAGACTCCTCAAAGCAGACCAGTAGTCAGATCATGAGGCAGATTCCGATTTCAGTGGCATTGCCACCTGCCACCTGCCACGTCACAGAGAAAGAATCCTGCAGCTCAGGTTAACAGCCTGCTTTGGGACATAGAACAGACCAGTGGTGAACAGGGCTGTGGTGCTATGGTTAACAGTAGCAATAGTGGCCACATTCCGACCCTTTCTCTGTACCAGGGTTGCTTTAGCTTTTCCTGAGGAGAAACAACTAATGTCTGTCTACTCAGCCCAGATGGGCCCCAGTTTCCTAAAGGATGATTTCCATGTCCAACTGATGACTGATGAGTCCGTTGGGCTTTCTCACAGACTGTGGGTGATGCACACACGGGATCTGCATCATGGCAGAGTTCCGCCCCATCTATAGGAAGGTGTATCATGGAGTCCTGCTGTCAATCAACCTTCCACTCCCTGTATACTCTAGCATCTCCCAAGATCACCTGTGCTGGGAGAAGGAGGGTCTCAGGTAAGGGATTCCCAGGTCTCTCTTCTTCCACTCCCTAGGGAGTGTCCATTGACCTGGCTAGCACTGTATCAGTCTGCTCTAGTTTCCATGGCCACCAGGTAAGAAGCCCAAGATGGCACCATGTTATGTCTGGAGAAAAAAAAAAAACAAATTTCCACCAGCCACATTTTCTGCCATCTGTGCCAAATGTCTTCTTTCTTCTACTTGTCATAGTCACTCTCTGTGGAAGGGACTTTTATTTTCCCTGTATTCAGAGGAAGAAAATAACCCAGAAAGGCTAGGAACTGCTCAAGACTTCCTGACTAGAAGCAGCAGAGCCGAGAGTCAGACCTAGTCAGTCTCCCTCTGGGGTGCAGGGCTCTCCCAGGTACATCATACATACACCACCATACAGATTCCACACCTATTTAAGGAGGTAGGGAAGGGCTGAGGGGTTGCTTTCATTGGCAGAGTGCTTGATGTGCAAGCATGAAGACCTGAGTTCAGATTCCCAACTCCCATGCCAAAGGGCAGGTAAACGGGGACAATCCCAGATCCAAGAGGCAGAGATCAGGGGATCCAGGGGCTGGCTAGCTGGGTTGGTGAGCTCTGGTTCAGTGATACTTTGTTTCAAAACCTAAGGTGGAGAGTGGTTGAGGAAGACACTAAAGTTGACTTCAGACCTCCCCATACAACGTGTACAATGTGCACACCCGCAAAGACAAAACCACCCAAATGAAGATTATAAATAACGTAAATTCAGCAAATTCAAAACAGATAGTGTAAACCTAGCAGCAATCCCTAAATATATCAAAGAGTGGCTTGAAGCACACTCAAAAATGACCAGCAGCTCCGGGTGGTTTATACAGGCAAGTTTTACTAAGTTTTAATAAACTCAACATTAATCAAATTGTTATGAAGAAGAGGCAAGCTGCAAACTGTCCAAACGAGACCAAGTGCAACCTGTTTGTTTTTGAGGCAGGGTTTCCTGCAGCCCAGGATGGCCTCAAACTCTCTGTGTAACTAACCTAGAACCCCAGTTCTCCTGCCTCACCTCTAGTCTGCTAGGACTGCAGGCCCAGCCCAACACCAGTACAGTCTTGCTAAGAAAGTAAACAGAACAAAACCCAAGAACACAGATAAACAGCCAAAAATAAATTTATAAGCCCATGCCTATGACTCTCAAAGGAGGCTCTCCGTGGTGAGTCCCAGCACTGGTCTTGACACTGTACAGACTGTTGTGAGGATCCCAGCTTCACAGCTTGTCAGCTCCATGCCTGAAATAAGGCACTGATCCTGCAAACTTCTAGTCTCCTCACTTGTGACACAGTCTTACCACTGGGAGGAGACACCATGACCATGGCAAACTTTATAAGGAAAAACTTTTAACCAGGGCTTGCTACCAGTGTCAGAGGCTTAGTCCGTTATTATTATGGAAGGGAGCACAGTGGTAGGCAGAACAAGCCTGGTGCTGGAGCAGTAGCTGACAGCTACATCCCAATCCACAGGGAAGAGAGCAAGACTGGGTCTGGTGTGGGTTTTTGGAAACTCAAAGCCCAGCCCAGTGACACACTTCCTCCAACAAGGCCACGCCTCCTAATCCTTTTGATCCAACCAAACAGTTCCACTCCCTGGTGACCAAACATTTAACTATATGCGCCATTGAGGACCATTCTTATTAAAACCACCAAGATTACATGTAAACCAATCAGGATGACATACAGTGGGGGCCGTCGAGATAGCTCCGCAGGTAAAGGTGCTTGCCACCAAACTTGATGACCCAAGTTCAATCCCCGGAGTCTGTATGGTGGAAGAAAAAAGCCAACTCATACAGGTCATCATCTGACCTCTGAACCCCATACAATTCCCACCCTCCCACAATAAGTAAATTAATAAATGGAGAAAAGTTTAAAAGAATCCAGATGATGATTTTTATAATAATTTTGTAGAAATTGGGGTTCTAGGTCACTTACATAGAAACAAGTAGAAAAACAAGAACCTAAAGCACTAAACTATGTAAGCCCAACTTTACTAAAATGAAGTTTTATTTTCTTCTCAGCAGTGCCAAAATTATAATTAAAGACAAATCAGACCCCAGGACTTAGTATTTGTTGTGTGCCTGACAGATATTAATATCTATCCATACTATATAAAATATGTAATACAAATCATGAGGAAGTGGCAACCAAAGGTGAGTAAAGGACACAGAGAGAGTCTCACAGGAGAAGCCCGAGTCGCTGGTGTGTGCAAATAATGACAGACCCATTTCATGACCCAGCACAAAAATGCATTTGGAAGTGAGAGTTCGTCTCATTCATAAAACCATTTTTTTTTTTCAAGGAAATGCTGTGTTGGGAAGAATGTCAGAAACTAAAAATCTCTAATTACCGCCAACAATTTAATTGAGATAGCCACTATGGGGAAAGTTTTGCATTATTTGATAGCATTACAAATAGCGCCAATTTGTACTAGACATGCCGCCCTTACCAGACAGCCTCTCCCCTACTCCTCCACAGGTGTCGGTGCTCAGTCTCATGAACTTACCAAACTTGAAGTCCTTCCGGACTCTACGAGCGCTGAGGCCTCTGCGGGCGCTGTCCCAGTTTGAAGGCATGAAGGTATATGCTCAGGTGGATGGATGGGGAACCCAGCTATCAGGACCGGAAGAAGCCAGCTGCCCTTGGTCCTTTGTCAACACTTTACTGGGGTCCTACCCAACCAGACCAGGGCCTGGACTGTGAGAAGTGAGGAGAAGGCTATGGTATGCCATCTCTTAACAACCAAGGGCTCTGTCTTCCCTGAATCCAGGGAAAGACATGCCCCATGTGTCTAATGTCATTGTCACAGGGCACTTCTGAGGTCATCCTTGGTGGCCATGTAAGCAGAAAGCAGAGCTCAATACAGGCCAGGAGAGGGATGTTTAGAAAAGACACAGAACTCTAGGGACCCTGTCCTGCATAATGGGTCTCCCCTGGGAAGATGGAGAACTTATTTGTAACATTTTCCTTTGTTTTGTTCCCCAAGGTTGTCGTCAACGCCCTCATCAGCGCCATACCGGCCATTCTCAATGTCTTGCTGGTGTGCCTCATTTTCTGGCTCATATTTTGTATCCTGGGAGTAAGTTTTTTTTCTGGAACATTTGGAAGATGCATCAACGGGACAGATATAAATAAGTATTTCGACTATACCCAAGTTCCAAACCGGAGCCAATGTAGTTACTTGTGGAAGGTCCCGAACGTCAACTTCGACAATGTGGGGAATGCCTACCTCGCCCTGCTGCAAGTGGTAAGCGCTGTGGGTCTGTCTGCATCCAGGAAGAGGAAGTTTGAGAGAGTGATCAGTCACTAAAAACACAGGGACTCCACTGAGCCCGCCTCCCCCCCCCCCCCCCCCCCCCCCCCCCCCCCAGTCTTTTCACTTGGAGTCTCCAACATAGTTACTTTTCTCATTTCTTTAACAAAAACGCCTGAAGGCAGTAGTTACTTTGTTGCTGTGATAAAAGACCCAACAAGAAGAAAGTTTCTTTTAAAAATCTTTCTTAGATTTTATTTTAGCTTGTAACTCTAAAGCGGATACAGTCCATCACAGCCGGGAAAGCACGATGGGAGCATCAGGAAGCTGGCTATCACGTCTCATCTATACACTACATACATCTATAGGGGTGTTATAAATCCTTAGATCCCATCCCCAGTGACACACTTCCTCCAGCAAGGTTCCACTGCCTAAAAGTTCTGTAATCTTCCCCAACTGCGCCGTCGAGTGGGACCAGGTGTTCCTACACAGGAGCTTGGGTGGGGGGGGGGGCGGCATTTCTCATTCAAACCATGCAACCTGACAAAAGCAACTTAAGATGGGGCTATTTTTGCACTTGGTTTGAGGGACTGGACCACCGTGGTGGGGAAGACAGGGTGGCGAGAATTGTCTAGATGCTGGCCGGCAGGAGTGTGAGGAAGCTGGTCCCACTGGCTCTGAAGTCAGGAGGGAAGTGGGCAGAAAGAGACAGATGCCGGTGCTGTTTTCATCTTACTCACCAGCCTGTGGGACAGTACCCCCCTCTCCCACCATTCAAGATGAGTCTACCATCAATTACCACAGAAATGCCTTCACCACACATCCTGATGCGGGTCTCCTGGGTGATTCCAGAGCCAGTTGGGTTGAAGATTAGTCCTCACACATAGAATGTGTAGTAGCGCCCCCTTCAGGGTTTTATGCCGCTTGCTTTGTCTTCTGTGGTACCTTGCTTGCTGTTCAGAGCACCTGCCAGACGGGAGAGCCTTTGGTGCAGGTCAGGACACTGTCAAGAGCTCTCTTTTCAAGTAGCAGAGCCAGGTGTTAGTTAGGTGGCACAAAACTTGTGCTATCAGGAAGAACCTTACCTGGCTTTTCCCAAGCAACCGATTGCGTAGACATTGATTTTGTTTTTAAATCATTAGTCTTGGGAGAATGAAAAAAGAAAGAGATTAGGTACATCACCCCTCCTCACGTCCATGACTGTTCTTTCCTGTGGACCTCTCTCTGCGGTGTCAGCTTATACACACCCACCCACAGGGCTTGACAAACTTTTGGGTGGCATGCCTCTGTTGATAAAAAAGTCTACAGCTGTGTCTGAATTTTCTACTTCTGTTTCAGGCAACCTATAAGGGCTGGCTGGACATTATGAATGCAGCTGTTGATTCCAGAGGGGTGAGTTAATGTCTCACTGTGTTCTAGAATGTTGTCTCAAACCGGAGATACTATGAGTTTGCAGATGGCCCCTAACTTCCTGCACGGCTGTGTCATTATCCCACATCCTTGTTTGTTCTTCTGGAGACAAAATTATGATGCAGACATGGCCTGATAAAGAGAGCATTGATGTATTGTTCGTGTCTGACACCCCAGTATTCTATAGAAACCAACAATTCTTCTGTGTGACAAGGGGAGAAATGAGAACCATTCATGTAGGAGATGGGACCAGAACCCCATGTGTCCTAGCCTGGTTTCTGTTCCTGTGATAAATAAAACACTGGCCAAAGTGATTTGGGGGGAGGGAGAGTTTTTTGTTTGTTTTTTTAAGCTTACAGGTTACAGGCTATTGTTGTGAGAAACCAGGGCAGGAGCTCAAGGCAGGAACCAGGAAGCAAGAACTGAAGCAGAGACCCCGGGGCGGGGGGGGGGGCAGGGGGAACTGGCTTACTTCCTCTAACTTCTTACGGTTACCATTGCTAAAATAAAATACCAAAAGCAACCCGGGGAGGAAGTGGTTTGCCTGGCTTATATATCACACCATTAGGGGAAGAAGCAAAGGCAGACGCAGAAGCCAGGCGGGATCCTGGAGACAGGAGCTGCTGTGGAGGCCATGGAGGGATGCTGCTTACTAGATTGCTTTTCATGGCTTGTTTACCCTGCTTTCTTATAGCACTCAGGATCACCAGCCCAGGGGTAGTCCCACCCACAATGGGTTGTACCCTATAAGCTTGCCTGCAGCCCTATCTTTTGGAGGCAATTTCTTAATCGAGGCTTCCTCTTCTTTAGTGACTCTAGCTTGTATCAAGTTGACATAAAACTAGCGAGCACACTTCACCTGGCTTGCTCGGCTGTCCTTCTGAGGGACAGATCCTCCTACCTCCATTGGGAATTAAGAAAATGCCCTACAAACTTTCCCACAGGCCCGTCGGATAGATGCAATCATCGGCTGAGGTTCCCTCTTCCCGGGTGCCATTAGTTTGTGTCAACTTGACAGAAACCAAGCATCATTGCAAGGCACTCCAACTGTCCTATAGCTCCTCTCCAAACGATGGACAGGAGGAAACCACCTTTCAAAGTCTGCATCTCCTAACTGGGGAAGCATTTAGAGAGTAGATATGACTACCAACTGTAGAACTGCAGTGAAAGGGAAAGTCAGAATTGAGTCTCGAAGTTGGAAATTTACTTGGCAGTCTAGTCTGTTTCCTGTTTCTTTTCTGGCTCAGCCAAAGGATGAGGAGAGACTTACACGGAGCACTTGAGTCAAGAATGGCACCATTGGGCGAGTGTTGCTAGTTCTTTATCATGACGCATGTGTGGTCACTGTACTGAGGAATCTACAGAGTTGATGCCGGAAATGGAGGGTGGGCTACAGACAGGAGGGATGCTGAACCGAGGAAGGAGAGTCTTCATGGCTACCGGGTTTCATCATAGCCTAACAGACTGGCATTTATATGTAGGTAGCGCATAGCAACAAACCACTTAGCTTAATTCTCAGTACATTAACAATATCTCACTCATGGAAAGCCAAAGCTAATCAAAGACACTTACTGTTAATGTTGTAATTCATTGTAGTATTTATATCTCATAATTATGCATGTCATATATACAATTTAAGTGTTTTCATTTTTAACTTATTGTTTGTGTGTAACATATGTGTGCACGAATGAGGACCAGAGTTTGGATCCCCAGAGTCCACATAGATGCTGGCTTGGCATGGGGACATTCCCTGCCTGGAATTCTAGTGACTGGAAGATGTAGATGGTATTCTAGGAGTGAGGTGACTAGAGACTGGGTCTCCTGGCAAGCTCTGGGGTCAGAGAAGAGAGGGCCAGAGGCTCAGTGGGAAATTGCTATCAAGCCTGACAACCTGAGTTTCTTCCCTCTGACCCACGTGGTGGACAGAGAGAATCAGTTCCTGCAAGTTGTCCTGGTCTCCATAGACATGCCATGGTGCACTTGTGCACACACGTGTGCAAATACAGAGAGAGACACACACACGTGTGAACATGCATATGCAAACACATATGCATGCAAAGTGCACATACTTAAAAGAAAGGAAGGAAGGAATAAATGGAGAAATAAACAAGTGGAGCAGCCTGGCCAAACAGGACCGCGTGCTCTGAGGCGTGCTCTGAGCTGGGCGAGCATGCTCTGAGCTGGGCGAGCATGCCTGTCATCAGCGAGTGTCCATGTACAAACTCACCCCCTCACTTACTCGTCTGCCTGTTCACTCTTGTGACTAGAGAATCAACCACCCAGAAGGTGTGCCAGGCACTGGCATCTCACAAGTGAGAAGACACAACTACAGGCAGAACGTTGACATTACGGAAGGGTAGAGACAGCTGTATAACAGCTATGAAGTCCAGTCCCCTCTGCCTGAGGTGGATGTGTCCTGTGCTGGGTTTATCTCAATGGCCTATCCATACAGACATCTGGGAGACTTTCAAAAGACAAATACCACCATGTCCCTCCCTCTGTCTTCTCATCTGTTAACAGTCTTCATTGTCTGGGAGAAAAGCCCAAACCCCCTGGCTCCCATCTCCCCACCATGTGAGTCTGGAGCTTAGCAAGGGACCTAAAGAAGGGACATCCAGAGGTGCACAACTCCCGGCAGGATGCTATGTGGTTAAACTTGCTGGGGAAATCCACTCTGGTCTTCTGAACAAGGCAGCTAGGGCAGCTTGATTTTTTTTTTCTTCAGTAATTGTTTTTCTCTCTTTAAAAACATCCATCCCTAACAGAAAGACGAGCAGCCGGACTGTGAGGCAAATCTCTACGCATATCTTTACTTCGTGGTTTTCATCATCTTTGGCTCATTCTTTACACTGAACCTCTTTATCGGTGTTATTATCGACAACTTCAATCAGCAGCAGAAAAAGATAAGTATACATGCTGGCCTGGCTGGGTCCTCTTACCTGGCTCTGCCGATGCTTTGGAGGGAGTGTGATGCTAACCTAGAAAGAAGGCTGCTTAGTTCTGATGTGCTCAAGAGCATCCAGGGAGCTCACCTCCTTTAGCCCAGAGGAGACCAGAATGGTCTCAGAGATAAGGGCAAGAACCAGGGGTAGTGGTGCACACCTTTAATCCCAGCACTTGGGTGGCAGAGGCAGGTGGATCTCTGTGAGTTTGAGGCCAGCCTGGTATACCAAGAGAGTTCCAGGATAGCCAGAGTTACATGGAGAAACTCTGTCTCCAAAAACAAACAAAACCCCAAATAAAACAAAAGGCAAGAAATGTATATTCTGCTTGCACATGGGTTTTGACCTCTGTCTTAGCTCAGATGGTTATCGGTGTGTTCTAGGCTGCTGCTTATTGGCCGTGAAGAGAACCAGCATGGTTAGCGTGTGTGCATAGCTGGCACAGCTTAGTACTATCTCTAAAGTATTTTGTTGGCCACAATAAAGAGAAACAGGGCTTCCCTCTTTGAGATGATTGCATTCTGGCTCCCAACGGCCTGAGGTCTCCTGAACCTGCTTGGACAGGTGCTTGAGGAAGAGGAGAGGTTAGGGAGGCTCCCGCCCCAGGCACTATAGTAACCTAATATTTATTTGCCTGATCCTGAAAGCCACTGGAGCTCTGGGCTAACACTGGAAATTAAGGAAGATAAAAGGAACTTTTGATCTAGCTACATCTATCGTCAAACGGTGACCACTTGAGACAATGACTCATCATTTTGACACAATTTGGTATAATCCTCTCCAGTTAAAAACCTGCCTCCCCCAAAAATTCTAAAAACCACAAACCAAAAAACCAAAACAAAACTCAAGAACAAACAACAGCAACACCACCCTTATTTTATGCGTGCTGGTGTGCTTGAATGTATATGCACCTCATGTGTGCAGTGCTCAAGGATGACATAAGAGGGAGACAGGTCCACTAGAACTGGAGTTACAGATGGTTGGGAACTGGGTGCTGGGAACTGAATGGAGGTCCTCTTCAAGAACAACCAGTGCTCTTAATCACAGAACCATCTCTGCAGCCCCCAAATTCTTAAATACACGTGCACACACACACAAACACACACACATCTATACACATATATACACACATATATGTGTGTATATACATATATACTTATATATGTGTATATATGTGTGTATATGTGTGTATATATGTGTATATATGCATGTATATGTACATATATATGTATATATGTGTGTGTATATGTGTGTGCATATGTGTGTATATGTGTGTATATATGTTTATATATATATGTGTGTGTATATGTGTGTATATATGTGTGTATATGTGTGTGTATATATGTATAGCTATATATATTTTGCATCACTGGGATTAACTTATACTTTTAATTTTGGGGTGTATAAGCTCATCAGTCATAGACTATTTTATAAAATCATATTTTGCTGTAAGAATTTTCAGGGCTAGGGAGATGACTTAGTGGGTAGGAATATACAATTTAGTATAATCTTCTCCAGTTAAGAAAGCAAAAAAAAAACAAAAACAAAAAACCCAAACCAAATAACAATAACAAAAATCCCCTTGTTTTATGTGTGCTGGTGTGCTTGCTGTGCAGTCATGAAGGCCTGAGTTCAAATCCCAAGTCCCCATGTTAAAAGCTGGGCACGGCTCCTCACACCTGTAACTCTAGTGCTGGGGGCAGAGCTGCGAGGGCCTCTGGGACTTGCTAGCTTCCAGCCTAGCTCCAGTCAGTGGTAGACCCTGTCTCATGGGAATAAGATGGAGAGAGATAGAACAGGACACTCAATGTCCTTTTCTCTGTGCACACATGAGTGCACATACTTGAACACACACACACACACACACACACACACACACACACACACACACACA